GGTAAAATGATGAATCTGTTTTGACACCTATATCTCAAAATTCTAAAAAATGTTTTGACACCTAAAACCTCTTAAACACTCAAAATTAAACCCTAATATAACATAGTTAACCCAAACATAAATTATATAATAAAAAAATAATTTTGAAAAAATGATATTTTATAAAAATTTCAAAAATGTGGCATTTTTGTAAAGTGACACTTGAAAAGTGACATTTTTTTAATTTTTTCTTTATTCGTTGCATGTTGATAAGTCATTATTAGATTTCACCCCAGTTAAATATCTAGTAGATTGATTTTTTTCGGTCGGGGAAATTCACTTATGATATAAGTTAAATTCATCTGTTTTTTTCAACTGGTTGTGTAAATTTGGCCTTTGCAAACTAATTGAACATCGAACCTTCCACACCAGAACTATGGTCCAAAATTTTAATATTTTTATTTTTAATATTTCATAGATCAGCAAATGATTAATTAGTTTAGAACCGCAACTATATCAACAATCAATCACTCATTTTGTCGAATGATCCATCTCTATCCACCACTTGTAATATGTTGAAATTTCATTTGTTTATCCAAATGGTTATCTATATATATTTGATGTAAACCTTACCAAGTTGAGACGCAAAATCACATCCTCCTTAGGTGAAGAAAATATCAACCATCAGCCACATGATCTGGTCATTCATTTGACTATTTTTTTTTGTTCTCCTCTAACCAAATATAAAATTATTACACAATAGAATATTTTATATTATTCTTATTCCATCCCAAATCTCTGACTTTCTTCTCGTCCAACGTATTTATATACAACACTTTCTCTAAAAAACCATCAAACCCCAAAAAAAAAAAAAAAAGATGGATTCAAGAGACACCACAGGAGAAGAAACTCATCAGACAAAGTACAAAGGTATCCGTCGCCGGAAATGGGGAAAATGGGTATCGGAGATTAGGGTTCCGGGAACTCGTGAACGTCTTTGGTTAGGTTCTTTTGCCACCGCCGAAGGAGCCGCCATAGCACACGACGTAGCTTTTTACTGCTTGCACCGACCATCTTCCCTTGAAAATGAAGCTTTTAACTTTCCTCATTTGCTTCCACCTTCACTCGCTTCAAATACATCTCCTAAGTCTATCCAAAAAGCTGCTTCCGACGCAGGTATGGCCGTAGACGCCGGATTCGACGTGAAGAACGATGGTGGGAGTGGTGGCGGTGAAGATAGATCGTGGACGACGAAGAACGTGGAGGAAGATAACGAACGTGAAGCGTTGAGCATCTCTGTGTATGATTATCTTGATGATGATCTCGTTTGATTATATACGACCACCTTTTTTATTTTTAGTAATTAATATAGGATGTGAATAGAATTTATTTTTAAAACTTATTTTTTCGATACGTGAGCTCTCTTTCTCAGGCTTCTTTTGATCTTTTCTTATGATGTACTAGTTTTTATTATGAAAACAATAAAGTTCTATAATTTTTTATGTATATAATGGGGTAAATTCTGCACCGAAGCTAAGACTAATTCTCCATATATGTAGAACTATAGATAAGATTTATTTTTTGTTCATGTTATAGTTTAAACTGAGTTTTCTGTTTTGGATAGTAATGATTTACATTTTGTAGAGGTATTATGGAGCAAAAGCCGGCAAAATTCCGGATAACA